GATTAAAATTATTTATATTAATGATGTCTCCGAAGTTCAAGTTTATTAAAAATACTTTAATAGAGCTTTTTAAGATTTATTTATTGCCTTAAAATTTACAGATTTAATGCCATTGAAAATTAGTGAATCCAAATCAAAATGTACTATAATCAATAATGATTAAAATGTCTGCAAAATTAATACTATTTTATATACATTTTATCTGTAAATTTGACATATTCATTTTTCTCTCCTTTAATAACAGTCATAACTGCTCCTGGTTTTCCTTCTTCGATGAGCTGAATAATTGCTTCTGCCACTTCACTTGGTCTGAAAATTAATTATATCATTATTAATTAGAATAAGGACTTAAAATTTTCTGAGTATTTGTGAATTTCAAAGAATTCTACTCTTAACTTAATAATAAAAACTGACATTGAAATTTTGGAAGTGTTTCCTTATTCGAGAAGCTTGCAGCTTCTTAAATGAAATCTTTACATATGCATAATTTTTATGTAGAATGCAGAATGTAAAGTGAAGGAGTGTTAAATTAATTGAATTGAAATAATGTGACTTTCGGTGCAAACTAGAAATTCCTGAATAGTTAATCGGGGCCTCCTGCCCCTACGATTTACACATCTGCTCTCACAATTCATCTATCTAACTTCGTTCACAACAGTAAGCAAAGACAGACAACAATAGGAAGTTATAGATCTATTGATACAATTTTTTTTCAAATTGCAGCTCAATGAATTTACTTTATATATTTATTATTCATTTTATTATTTCTTTAAATATCACGATTAATACTTACTCTATTGCAGGATTTCTTTTGACAAATTCTCTCATCTTTTCCCCTCCTGATGTTAAGACATTTTTCAGCATTTCGGTGTTTATAGCACTAGGGCATACACAGGTGAATTTAACTCCGCTTTTTTCGTAATTTAACTGCTAATGTAAAATATAAATATATAATTTTCTTATACCATAAAACATTCTTTATTATATTATCAAATAAGTAGTCAATTGAAAATAATGCAGTTTATTCAAAGTAATAGTTGCTGTTACCGACCGAAACTGACGCCAAATTTTATACAATGTAACATATAAGATGATGATAAACATCCCAACATACGGAAGAATACCATAAAGTAAAATTAAATGTAAACATTAATAAATAATTAATAAATACAACGGCCGAGACAATAACAAAATATAAAAATATTTGCAAATTATAAGAAACAAATTGTATTCACAATCTGTCCTTAACAGTGTATTCGACACATAACAGTCGCATGTAGTCACAGCACTCTCCATTTTTTAGTCTTTCTTTCCTGTGGGCACTAAAAGGGCCTTTTTAATTACACTTGTCGTGGGTTTGGCCAAATTTACAAAGGCAAAATTTGACTCTTCAGTTTCTTTGATATGCATATTTCATAAGTTTTCTAACTAATTTTGTAATTTTTATTATTTTATTTAAATTGCAGCAGTGGAATATGGAATATATGAAAGATATGGTAGATCCTCCTCCATCTCGAAGCTCCAAAACCTCAATTTGCTGCACAATCAACAACGGTATGCAACTGACCTGCGACGAAGTCACAGGGATTACGATCCAATAAACGTGTCTAGAAGCATTAGCAAAACATATCGTTGACCAGATTTAATTTTCTTAAAAAGAATGTAGACCAATAATAAAGGATGCTGTGAAAACGCAAACACTTTGGTGAGTATAATGGAAGTTGATGGTGAACGTGTGGATTTTCGTCGGACCAAATGTTTTGCGACTCCATTATATCCAAATTTGTTAGAAAACATGTAAACGTATAGCATTAAGGGAAGCGTTAGAAAACGTATGCACATTAATGGGACTGCAGCGTAAAATTTTGCTCTATCATTGAATTTAGAAGTAAAATGTTTTCAATAAACATAAATAATCAGTCAGATTACGTAATTTGGCAGACCTCCCTAACTGAATAATTTTATTCATCAATAATCTAGCATGAGTTCTCTTATTAATGTAATGCATACGGAATAGACCATTAGACGAATATCGTCTGAGTAAGGTTTGCTTGAAATTTATACTTGGTAAAAAGTCTATAGACTGGACACGTCATTTTATTGATACCTGTAATACTCATGGTATTAATCTTATTAATGATGATTTGAATTTAATGGACTGGTCTCTTCTCCTTGTAAACATTTTTGATAATTTTTTATATAATATTAATGAAAAAATAAATAATAGCGTATATAATTGTTGGTATAAGGATTTAAATGTTACTTTTTTTGATAATTCTTTATATAATCAAGACGTTTCCCTTAATATTTTGTCTTTATTTATACAGGCTAGGTGTAATTCATTAAATTTTTTAAATAATTATTCGAGAGAATCGTGTGACTTTTGTGTTGAGAAAGAAATTGTGGATGCCTGGCATATTTTGGCTAAATGTGAGCGTCTTAAAGTGCTACGTGCAGAAATTTTCGGTTGTGAAGTTCTTACCAGGTCTTTATTTCTTAAAATTATATCGGTACCATGTTATCAATTTAAAGTGTTTTGTTTTCTAAGAAAATCTGTTGATCTTTTGTTTTAGGGGGCGTGACTCCTCTACTATAAATTTAGCCTTGTCGCTGGTGTAGTTTGGGAGCATCTGTCAGTGCTGTATCTTCGTTATTAACTTATTTCTTTTTTATAGGTAAGCAATTTGCTTATTTTTGGTTTTTATTTTTATTTATTGGTTTTTTGAATTTTATTGACAGATGCTCCCAAACTTTAACTTTAAACTTTAACTAATTATTACATTTGACTTTTAGATCTTTAATTTATATCTAAATTGTTATTTATTTAATTTATTATTGTATGATCTGTTTGTGATCTTATGTGTGTGTTCATTGTATCGAACTGTTTTGTTCTTTGGGAGATGGCTTTGCTCCCCGCATCAAGGAGTGTATCCAGTATGCGTAATAAATAAATAAATAAAAAATAGAAGTAAAATGTTTCCTTCAAAAATCGAAATCATATACTCAAGAAATTCGGTTGAGATTATCCCAATAAGACTTTGTATAAAGAGTTACTAAAGCTACATTTTAATTATAATTGTCCTATTTCTATTAAATTTTTATAGTATCAAGCATTAATTTATCTTTCAAGTATATTGATTGTATAATTTACTTTTCAGATAAAAATTTCAGAATGCAAGGAGCATTTCATTTTGAATTTTTTTTATTCTCACGTTTTTTCGGAAAAAAAATAGTGTAATGCCTTTAGTGGTCGAGTGGATAACTCCACTGAACAGAGGTAGTTCGCAGATTTCCTCTCGAACTACAGGCTGATCGCATGGAGTTTCTCAGGTTATCATCTAAGAAACCTAAAGAGAAGCCAGTTTCCCGTAGAAAAATCTTCTAGGGGAATCTTCCTTTAAAAACATTTTTCTTGGCATTATCGCTCGTGTGTTGCGATCCGATCATTCTAATTCCATCCAAAAAAGAACATTCGTTACCAGTCTTAAAACTTTGATGCAGTAATACAGCATCAATTTAAATAGATAATACAATATATATATTATTTTGTATTTTATAATTATCGTAAATCTAAATTGAAATTTAAATAATTTTGATGTCTCCAAAATTTAACAGTGCCCACCAGAGATCAAGTGGAATAAATCTGAATAGTAGAATCTAACAGACTGGCGATATGATTTCTGGGTTTCCTTCACATAAATAACACCGAAGTAGGGACCAGTTTTCCTTATAAAAGTGTTGCCAGGAAACATTTTTCTCAACACATCCTATACGTATTGCGCCATTTTTATTGTTGCCATACAACAAAGTTTTGCAATTTAAAAAAAAATGTGAAAACGTTGATAATTCTGAGTATTTTCTTCTAAACTGCTTTAAATAAATAAACATATTATCATATTATAACGACTTCACTTACTCCATGACATCTTGTAAACATAACTACACCGGCTTTAGTTGCTGAATAGATTGGTAGTGTAAAAGGTCTGAGAGCTGATATAAGTAAAAAAATGTATTTGAATTAATTTACAGTACACGTTTATGTACGAAAGGAAAATGCAAAATTCTTAAATACCTGCCATAGAAGCAACATTAACAACAGCGCCCCCATTTCCTCCATTATTCTTCCCCATGTATTTTGATGCAATGTTGCAACCATATATCACGCCATTCTACAATAATTTTTAATTATAAAATTCATCTCGTAACTACTCAATGAAGTTTTAAAGAATGAAAAGTGTTCGGACTTACCAAATTAATATCCACAGCCTTATTTTCTTGAGAAACTCCTGCATTATTTACTAAAATATTTAAATCCCCAAATGTCTGTTTGGCTTTCAAGTAAGCTTCTGTAATTGAATTAATTTAGTAAAAAACAACGAGTATGTCGTAAAAGTGAAAGTTTGAAACAAGTTTTTGTTATAATTCAAAATTATAAGCGAACTATTTGTAATCTTAAATAAAACAGAAATTTTTTTTCAATCCGTGAGAAATATATATTTATGTGAGAATCGAACAAAACAGAGAAAAATATCTATCAATGAGTTGCGTAACTTTCTCGGCTGTTATGAGATTTTAATTTAAAAATAACNTTTTGTTTTCCATATAATAAAGATATCTTCCACATATCTTTTGCACATAAGCATACATGGTAGAGTTGATAAAATCATTTTTCCAATAATAATATATCTGACAAAGGACCCCAGACAAGAGGCTATCCACAGGTGTCCTGTCTTTTGAACATATGTCTTGTAATCATAGTGAAAGAAGAGGAATCGCATGAAGTATGTGCTTAAATTCAGGATAAATTTGCAATGACTTGCTTATTGCTTTTATGTAATAAATGTCTAACAGGGCAAAAATTTGTTGTAATTTGTATTAAGTGGAACACAGGTACAGTATAAAGACTAAGACTGTAATATAAACATCTCCTGTAAGTTGTCTATCACAAATCATCAATTGTTTGCTCTGTTTTACTGATGGATAATCTATAGGTTTTTAAATAATCTTTAAATAGATTATGAATAGCATTTTCTAAAAGGCAAGTACGCAGCATGGCATTACAGTTCATATAGTCTTGCCTGATTTATGGCTCTTTGTGAATGCAAAAAGTTTAGGAGTATTAGCAGAATTTGCGATTACACTATCTAATTTTAAGGTTTAAAAAATCTAAATCCAATAAATACAACACCAAAGCTATGTGTGTGTGTGAACACACACAGACTTTATAATTATAATCATTAACATTATATCAATAATAATACATAAACAGTAATTACAAAAGATAATTAAAAGTAGGTAAATACATTATATCCTTCTCAGAATTTATGCAAAGAATAACTCTATAATAAAAATATTTTGGAATTAACTGATTGTGTGATATGACTTTTTTGTCTTGACTGGTATAGTTTGTATTATTGCATTATTAAAGTCTTTAATAAACTGTTTGAAAATTTACGCTCTTATATGATTGCATTTTGTAATTTTTAGCTGTAAACTGAGTTTAATCAATGTCCCAAATTTAGCTAAAAGAAATATTACTTATTTGCATATTAGCTACTCTTAATCTCAATATACTCTATCTCAATCATTTAGAACTTATTTTTGTTAGAGAGTAACAAAACAAACAAATTCTTGTTTACTCCGACAAAGTGAATGCTTCAATGAATGCCAGTCTTCACAGCAACATCTGTACTGCCTGAATCCCTGATTCTGCTGAATTTCCTTTCTCATCCAGGTCAGGTGAAATAATGCCACTTTTATTCCATCATTTATGGATTGATGGTTTGACAAATGCTCACACTCCAGCAATCAATAATTAAGGATCTCATTAAGGATTTTGAATTTCGTTTCAATCTTGGAATTAACTTTTAAAATCATTGACAGACTAGGAGACACCTCCACCATGATGTTTTTTTTCCCTTCAGTGTTTTTGTCTGATGACATTACTTACTTTAAATTACTGAAGAACCATAACTACAGTATGGTAAGGATGCATTGAACTGAGACTCTCTGTTTTCCTCTTCCTTCATGTAACTTCCCAGTATCATTTCTGTTATCTTCTTGTTTGGCAGTTCCCTAGTATTGATCACAAAACTATTTATATGTCTTTCAGTGTTTGTTTTTTGGGATCTTTCCAGAACATTCTGAATATGTAGTATGTAACCAACTATCCAATCAACCCATTCAAAAAAAACTCTAAAGTCAGTACCTTGATTTGACAGGTCTTTCAGCAGTTTCTTTTTGGTGGACAACCTTGACACTTCCCAACTCCTGTCATTCAATTCTCCGATTCCATCAATTTTTTTCTATACCAGGGAATTTCAGCATAAGGTCCATTTTAGATTGATGAAAGTTTTCATACAATGAACTTTCACGAATTCTTAAAGCATTAGTCATATGAGCAACAAACTAGGAATTCAAAATTTTTTCACTATTCAGTAAAGTTGATTAGCTGAAAAATTGATTAACAAAAGTCAACTTCAGAAAGTACTACTGGCACTGGTAGAGTATACATTGCCCCATTACTACTATTCTTGAGGTCAGCATTAACCTTCTGCACAGTATTTCCTTCAATTGTTAGAGAAAGTATCAAAGAGAGCTAGTGGAGTTATCAGGAAATGATCATCTTTATAAAGTTGAGTTTTCAGAGACCTGTTTAAAAGACTTGAAATTATTCCTTTTGAAGCATATACAGAGAGTTTAAAAAAGTCCTTGTGGTGCTTTTCAAGGTTTGGGGTTAATTTCATTTTGTGTTTAGTGGGAGACCACAGACCCTGACTCCGAATCACTCTCAACCTTTAGATATTACTTCTTTCAAGAGGGTTCGATCCTCCAGACCTGTCTCTTTATTTTGTCACATAACCTTGCCACACAGAGAGTGAATTCCATCACTCTACAAGGTGATAAATAAATGGGCAAATAGTATGATGGAGCAGATTACATTGGTCAACATCACCACACAAAGAAGAAGCAGACATTATCTTCTCTGGGTACAACCAACAAGGCAGGCAAGCTACACCAGCCCATCATACAGCGAGAGATGTATGTGTTGTCAGCAGGAAAGTATAGAAACAGCTAGTATAGAGATAGAAATATAATTGTCCACAGCTGAGAGGACTACCTAATAATTTTAGATAATTTGGAGTTTTGCCAATGGTACCTAACCAATCAAGTGCATTAGTGTGAAGTTTGAATGGATTGTTTTTGCAGTGTGTTCAACATGTTTTTTAAAATTTATCTGTATCATTGAAATAAATAATACATAAGTTGTAAAGTTCTGTTTTTTTAACAATAAATTAATTTTTCTAAGTAAAATTGTAATTCATATTATTCTAAATGGCATAAATGAATAAAATTATTATTCAAACATCATTCTACTACAATAAATTCTTAGATTCATCAATGAGGATTCTAAACTTTTATATGCCATTTTCTAGTGCATTAATGTACAGAATACATAACAAATTAGAATGAAAATAAAAAAGTCTTACCTTTCCTTTGTTTTGCTTCTTGTTAATTTTTTGAGCACAAGAAGTTTTTACAATGATTCCCTGTCTCTTTGGAAAGTGAATTATAAAACTTGAGAATGATACTTCTTCCTAGAATAATTTAAGAATTTAAATATTAAGAATAGAAAAGATCGAAATGATTCATTAGCTATTTAAATTAAAATCATTTTAAATACAGGACATTTATTGTTTCATTCAAAAGAATATAAGACAATACGAAGGCGAATATCATTTATAATCTGATAATTTAATTCGATGCTAAGTGGAAACAATCTTAAATATTTTAAATAAAAATTTAANGAAGAACGATACTTCTTCCTAGAATAATTTAAGAATTTAATTATTAAGAATAGAAAACATCAAGATGATTCATTAACTAATTAATTAATTAAATATTAAAATCATTTTCTGTTACATTACATTTATTGTTTCGTTGAAAACACTATACAACACACGATATACAAGCGAATATTATTTATAATCAGATTATTTAATTCGATGCTAAGTGAAAACAATCTTAAATATTTTAAATAAAAATTTAAGACTTTTACATTTAATATTCTATCGACAATTATTTAATTTCGATCGCTTATAAATAAAAAAACGTTACATTGCCTGCGTTATTCGGGTTTATGTAATTAAACATTTACGAAAAATCTTGAAATGGAGGGAAAAATAACCCGCAATTTCCAGAAAACTTTCTATTTCAAGATGGGGCCGGCAATACGAAATCGAACGAATTCGGTGGAACGTGCGATAAATGCGTCACACGTTACGTCATAGGTTCTACGTCAGAATATTAACTAATTGCAAATCTTTTCTTTAAAATGCTAAAATAGTCCTGTTTTTTTGTAAAATATATTTGTAATAATAAATAACATTATAAAAACGCATTCCGTAACCTTACAGGTTACAGGCCGCAAATCTAGGTTTAAAGCGTATCTAATTTAAATTATTTAATTTTGATATAAATCGAAAAATATTAAG